AAATGTGAGCTTGATACTAGAAGAAAATGAGGTCAATTATATGAAATAATGATTAAGATCAGTATGTAACATAATGGAAAGTTCATAGGACCAAACAGAAATATAAAATATCATAATGCCAAGTAGAAATTAAAGCGTTGGGCGGGACCTCGCACTCCACGCAACTCGGGGCGTACTTCCTGTTGCCAGTAGGTGGCACTATCACTATATCTGAATATAGTCATGTAGACATGTTCAGAGCGGGACTCTTATCAAACGTGAAGATTCGTTGAGATCAGATAATGTACACTGAAGTTGTGAGGATGTGTTCAGGGTGGGACTGTTACAGAACATGTGACCTTTAGTCGAGATTAGACATTGTACACTGAAGTTGAGTACTATCTGTTTATGGTGAATGGTCGAAATTCAACGCCATGGGCACGCCGTTTGACGGGATGTCGTAAATAGCACAACTTTTAATCATGAATGTCTTTAGATTGTGCTGATTAAATCTGAAGTAGATCCGATAAATTCCCTAGGAGGAGTTCGTTCAAATACAACGCGAAAAGTTCGCCGAAAGTGAAAATCAAAATGGCTGACTTTCTGTGGGGATTGGTGTATGGGTCCAAGAGGCTTTTTTGTACGTCTCAGCATGTTATGCGTGCCTACCGAGTTTCATACATAACGGTGAAACGTGGCGCCAGGGCTGAATTTCTCTTATCCTGTAGGGGGCGCTACAAACACGACAAACATGATTTTTGGTATGTGAGCTACAGGCACCACTCTACACGTGCCCTGTGAATTTCATACTCATAACTATTACGGTCTCCGCACAGTGATTTACCCTGCCACCAGAACGCCACCTAGTGGTGGATTGTTGACACATTTATTAGTGAGCCTCAGGGAGACATGGGCAACCATCCTACCAAGTTTCATTTTAATCACTCTTGCAGAGATATAAACTTCATTTTAGAGAGCGCCACCTAGTGGTGATGGCCTGAAATTGTGCACGATGCCTAAGGAAGACATGGGGAACTATGGACCCAAGTTTGGTGTCAATCAGAGATGCCAATGTGGAGAAATGGTCCACTTCCTTTTTTGACAAAAAATTTACAGGAAGTCTTAAATTTATAACGTCTTTAGTTTTTGAAATATCAAAATTCTTTAGACTACTTTTTTACTAGGGCGGTCCCCAGGTGCTACGTGAAAAATGTTGTGCGAATCGGACAAAGTGTGTAGGAAGATCACCAAAAAGTAGTTTTTGGACATTTTACGCTCTAGCAAAAAAGAAAAGTAGGCGAAAGTGGGCGGGGCTTATGTGGGGAGATTCAGCTCCATTCACCGAACGCGTGGATATAAGGTTTTTGAATGTGCGACAAACTATGCAAAAGTTATTAGCCTAAATGCATTTTTTATGATGGTAGCGCCACCTAGTGGCCAACCTGAAAGTGACGCGTAGAACATAACATTTTTCGCCAGGCCTGACAAAAAAAATGTACTTTTGGTATATGTTCAGGAGGGCAAAAACGCAGCCAAAGGCTCTAAAAATAATTAAAGCTGCAAGCAGCGTTGGATGGGATCTCGCACCCGGCGCTCGTCGGGGCGTGCTGCGACCGTGTCACGTGCTGCTGGGGTGCGCTGCGGCCACGTCACGTGCCGTCGTAACAAGCGCGGACCACAACACGAAAATGTCACGTAAATCAGCTCAAAATCGCCCTGCAGCACTTACTTCCTGTTGCCACTAGGTGGCGCTATCACTATGTGTTCAGGGCGGGACTCTTATCAGACAAGTGAAGTTTGGAGCCGATTGGACAATGTACACTTAAGTTAGAGCAAATTCGTGTTTTGTGGCGGTACATCAAAATTTGCCGCCACGCCACAGACACGCCCCTTCACCGCAGTCATCACATCATCAACAATGTGTTTTGCATTTTATAAGTAAATTTCAGCTGGATCTGATCATCCTGCTAGGAGTAGAACATGAAAGTATAAAACGTGATACTTCCTGTTGCCACTAGATGGCGCTCTGACTATTACTGAATATTATCACATAGCCGTGTTCAGGGCGGGACTTTTATCAAACATGTGAAGTTTCGTTGCAGTCGGATCATGTACGCAGAAGTTATTACGAATCCCTCTTTTATGGCGAAGGATCGAAATTGCACGCCACGGGACGCCACGGGCACATCCACAAAGTTTAACGGAATAACGTAAATAGCACAACTTTTAATAGTGAATGTGTTCAGATGGCTGTGTCCAAATCTGAAGTCGGTCCGATAAATTCCCTAGGAGGAGTTCGTTCAAATACAACGTGTGCAAATCGCAAAAATGGCCACAAAATCCAAAATGGCCGACTTCCTGTTGGGTTTGAGGTATGGGTCCTTGAGACTTTTCTGTTTCTTTTATCATCATACACATGCGTACCAATTTTCGTACATGTCGGCCTTACGTGTCTTGGGGGCTGATTCGGGGGGGTGTGGCTTAGCCGTTTGGCGGCGCCCGTGCACGGGGACAATGTCATATCGGTATTTCCGCTACGTTTTATTTTGTGCAAATTTCCATGACTTTTTGAGATCCCTAATAATAGGGACATCGAGCAATTACAATAGGGACCTCCAGCGGTTGCTGGCTCCCTGATTAAAGTCAGCAGTGACAAACTGAAAATGCAGATTTGTTGCATGAGGTCAGGGAGACCATAGGTGTAGCATGTGGAACCTAATAAAAGGTCATAAGACCGAACAACACTAACTTAAATAAAATGGAAAACAGAACTTAACGTCTGACAACTAAACAGAAATTAAAGTCAGAGATCGCAAACAAAAGTTAGGATCCGACAACCAAACTGAAAACAGTGAGTTTGTTGGGTCGAGGTCCTGCACACAGAGAAATAGGGGAATCATTTCTGTACCCAAAGGTACATTTGTTACAAAAGTCCCGTCTAAGGCACGAAAAAGGTCCTTAAGGTGATAAATGTGGACCTTTGTTTAATTTTAAAGGTACAAAATCATGGCTGACAGAAAGGGGAACATAATTGTAACAAGCTTAAGGTAGAGGAAAATGTTTCAGCAAATCAGTGATCACAAAATCTTGATTTAAATAGAGAGTTGGGCTGACTGAAATAAAATAGACTACTAGTAAATTTCCATTCAATTATTGGTCTGTGTGGCCTGGGAATAATTTCATGAACCAAAGAACTAGGACAGCACTTCCATTCAACTTTTTTAATTTTGCCACAAGGACGTTTCAGCGTGTATTGGCAAGTTCACAGTGGATCTATTTGAGTGATTTTGTTCATTTAATCCCGTAGCTGATTGTCAGTGTAGCAGAGTGGAATGCTTCCAGTAGCCATTACCATTACTCACAACTGTATTTTATTAAGTATTATCACTGTTTTATTGTCAATGTATTTTCTCATTCTTTGTATTCCACGTTGGGGACTTGTTTTTCTGTATTTATTTAACTTTATTTGATGCCGTAGCCCTCCCTTATGGAGCCCCTGCAGAGTTGTGTAGTGCAACCTGTTTTTCCCCCCGCAGTCTGCTGTGGCATGAAAAGGTACTGAAAGTGTTAAAAGATGTAAACTAATTGTTATTTCTTTAAATACATTTTGGTGAATAATTGTAAAGTGGTGGCCTAAAGGCGGGTGGGGAAAGTGAAGAAGCAGCACTTGCCCCTCCCTCAATACCACCACTGATGTGCCCTTGAGCAAGACCCTTAACCCAAAACACTGCTGTACAGCTGCTCAGTGGCTGTGCTTGTACTGGGCAGCTTCCAAGTATGAATGTGTAACAGTGGCTTCCTCTCAGTGAACCTTCCCTGAATAAATAAAGGCTAAAAAACATTGAATTTAAGTGGTTTTGCCACATAAAGGTACAGAATGCCATGTTGCTCCAGCAGTACCTCATTAGACCAGAGAGCTGTTGCAACAGAGACGAAAGGTGATGAGCGCCCTGTGAAGCCCTGCTGAACACAGAGGCCAGCTGCATGTAGGCTTGGCAGCGACGAGGGACGCTGATTGGAGACATTGAGGAATTTTCTGGGAACTGATCGGTATGTGAGGACAGCTTGTACCTGACTGTGTTGATTTGGTTTTGTAGGCTACTGGTATTGATGCACGGTGAAAATTTCAGAAGTGAAAACATATTGCTGTGATTTGTTTGTTGGTGGTATACTGGCATTGATACACGATGGAAGGTTTAAGGCAACAAAACATACCGACACAGGACCATGACTGGGCCCACTGCTAAAATATAGACTTGATGTGGTGCAGTAGTGGTTTGATCAGCCTCTCTCCGTCGTTATCTTAACATTGAATATGAATTGAGCTGAAGAATCCAAATCACATTTGCACAGAAATGACAGCTGAAAGCAGCAGAGAAAAGACCAGATTTAAAGTTTAACAGCAGCAACATGATTGGCTGGAGGAGATTGTGGCTAAATCTGATTGGATTAACTGAAAGAGTAAACGGCCATGGCTGATTAGAAAAGAGAGGGAGAGAATTGTGAATGAATGAGGCATAATGAGAAGGTCTTCCTGATTGAACTTACACTGAGCTTCATTAGGCCTGTAGGGTTCATCTGGAAACAACAGCAGTGAATACAATGATGTTGTTTTTAAGAACTCTTGGAAGCCATTGATTTACTGTTTCATTGTTATTGAACAGAAGAAAGTAGAGATAATCTGCCAACTAGTGTAAAATAACACGATGCTGTGGGTTGGTTTTCCTCCTGTCCTCCACAATGTTTGAGTCAGCAGCCACTGATGCACACACAGGACCTGGACACATGCATTAGTGGACAGATGTCAGAGTGATGAGGCTGCCACACAGTCGCTGCTCCAAGCAGTTAGGGCTTCAGTGCCTTGCTCAAGAGACCTCGGCAGAGCCCAGGAGGTGAACTGGGATCACTACAGGTGTGTGTGTGTGTGTGTGTGTGTGTGTGTGTGTGTGTGTGTGTGTCTCTCAACATGGGTACATTACTGTCATTAATTATGACATTGATGATGTCACTGATGGGCTTACCTGAACAGGTGAGATTCAGGATGGAGGAAGAGGAATATGATGATGCACAGTCCCTCAGAGAAGATCCATAGTTAACACAGTCAGAGGTGATCAACCACACAGGTCTGTCTGAAGACTCCTTTCTCTCTCCTATAGAAACAGCAGAACCACAGTCCAGATTTCTACAGACAACATTTGCTTCCTTCAGGGTCCAGCCTGAGCCCTCCACTGGTCTCCAGTCTCCATTATGTTTCAGCTCCAGTGTTCCTGCACAGCGACTGTCTCCTCCCACCAACCTGACCTCCTCAGACTCTGAACAGAAACAAGAGAGTCATCAGTAAAAGAATAAAGTGAGTTTCATCAGAACAGAAATGAACCAATCAGAGCTGCAGCTCCTCTTCTACCTGAGCAGGTGAGTCCAACAGCTCCCAATACACTGACACTGAATACACTGGAACACTTGGTATCCATTTTTAAACACTTTCAAACAATAAAACATCATCATCTGCAGATTCATCTATTCTGTTCCTTCTGCTCAGGTACTCCACAATCTTTGCTCTCCACACAAAGACGATTCTTTACTTCTCTTTTCTTTCTCTATTTACCTGTTGAGTTGGGTGTTCCTTCAGTCTGCAGTGCTGAGGAGAAAATCAGAAAATACTCATCAGTATGAAGCAGCATATTGAAAAGAGGACAGTCGATCCAAGTTTCTTGGAGCTCAGAAACATCTCAGTGAACTCTCTCTGGAGCCGTTTTACCAGTTTACTATAGTTGAGATGAACATGTGAATGAACACGAGTCAGCAGACTGGTTTACACTGAGTTAAACTCAACACCTGCACACTGAATATATTTGATCACACATGAATACATCACACACCTGCGCACTCCTGATCACACCTGAACATTCTTGAATACACCTGATAACACCTTAAAACACTAGAATACACCAAAAAACACCTGCACACAACACAAAACACCTTATCACACATGAACACACCTGAAAACACCTACACACAACAGAGCACATTTAAACACCTGAATAATCACCAACAACAATCAACAACGAACCACCTGAAAACATAAAAACATCTGAACATATCTGTAAACAACTGAAAACACTTGAGCACCTGATCACACCTGAAAACTCAAGAACACATTAAAACACCTGAATAATCACAAACCAGACACACCTGAAGGCCTTAACAAGGCTAAACTCGTCAACAACTGAACACAATTGGACACACTTGTACACCTGGAGATATCATACAACCTTGAGTCCTTGAATATACCTGACCCTAACTCCATTTCATTGTTCATTTGTTTTAATGATTTACTATCAGTATACCTGAGAAAAAAGAACATTTGTTGTATTGACTGGCATTTTTATGGTTGTGTTCTATTTTTAAAGTGACTATATTTCATTGTTTTTGTATTCTGTCTTAATATCATCCTATCAATCATCTGTGAAGCACTCTGAGCTGCACTAAACTGTATGAATGGTTCTATACTTATAAAGTTAGAGCTCCAAATCCTCCAACTTACCAGCTGTTGATGGTCATTTTGGTCGTAGGTAATAACTTATTTATTAATCCAAGTTCCAAAATAATAGTTTTGTGTATTTCATGAGACTAAACTACATTAAAAGTGGTGCCCGAAGAACTTCATAATTCATTTAAGTTATACTTACTATTAATCATTTTGATAGGAAAACTTTAATTAATTGCACCAACACAGTTGTTGTCTTTCTTTGTATGGGTCCACTCCTTCCTCCACGCCCAAATTCACCCAGTACGTTACCTGCCACACCAGAGACAATAAAATACTGGATCTGTTTTATGCCAACACCAAGGAGGCATATAATTCAACTGCCCTCCCTCCCCTGGGGAGATCAGATCACAACCTGGTTCATCTCCTGCCTGTGTATGAACACCTCATGCACAGACAATCAGCTGTGACCCGTACAGTGAGAGGATGGTCTGAGGAGACTGAAGAGGCTCTGAAGGACTGTTTTGACTCAACTGTGTGGGAAGAACTCTGTTATCCTCATGGGGAGGATATCGACAGCCTCACTCACTGCATCACAGACTATATTAACTTCTGCGTGGAGAACACTGTGCCCACCAGGACTGTACAGTGTTTCTCCAACAACAAACCTTGGATCAATCTGGACATTAAGGCCCTGCTGAAGGAGAAAAAGTGGGTCTTCAAGTCTGGAAACAAGGAGAAGTTGAAGTCAGTGCAGAAGGAGCTGAGGTGGAAGATTAGAGAGGGGAAGAACAGATACAGGAAGAAAATGGAGGATCAGCTGCAGCAGAACAACATCAGCAGAGTCTGGAGAGGCCTGAAGACCATTTCAGGCTACAAAGAACCGGGCTCCCAGGCTGTGGGGGACCAGAAGTGGGTGAATGATCTGAGCCTATTTTTCAACAGACATCCAACCCTCTCCCGGTCCAGCCATCCATGCTGCAGCCCCCCTTGTCTACACACCCTGTATTTTTCCCCCTCCATCAACCCCACCCCCACCCACACAGCACTCAGATCGCAGCCAGCCACCACTGCCTCCACCTCTACTACTGCCCCATCCCCCCCACCGACGTGCTCACCTCCTCTCACACCTCCATCCCCCCTCACACCCCCAAAAACCCTGCCCCCGAGCCCCTATCTGTCCCTCTCTGCTGACCAGGTGAGGAAAGAGCTCAGGAAGATAAAGGCAAAAAAGGCTGCGGGTCCAGACGGCATCAGTTCCTGGCTCCTCAAGTCCTGCGCAGACCAACTCTGTGGGATTGTGGAGCACGTCTTCAACCTGAGCCTGAAGCTGGGGACAGTTCCACAACTGTGGGAGACACCCTGTGTGGTGCCGGTGCCAAAAACACCGCACCCAAAGGACCTCAACAGCTACAGGCCGATGGCGCTGACATCGCACCTGATGAAGACACTGGAACGGCTGGTCCTCGCCCATCTCCGCCCTCTGGTGGGACCATCCATGGATCCGCTGCAGTTTGCCTATCAGCCTGGCATCGGGGTGGATGACGCTGTCATCTTCCTCCTTCACAGAGCTCTTTCTCACCTGGAAAAGCCCGGAAGCACTGTGAGGATCACATTCCTCGACCTCTCCAGTGCTTTCAGCACCATCCAGCCTCTGCTTCTGAGGGACAAGCTGGAGCTCTCAGGTGTGGATTATCACCTCACCTCATGGATTATGGATTACCTCACCAACAGCCCACAGTATGTGAGGACCAAGGATTTTGTGGACTGGTGTCAGTGGAACAGCCTCCAAATCAACACAGGGAAAACCAAGGAGCTGGTGGTGGATTTCCGCAGGCGCAGTCACGCCCCCTGAACACCGGTGAACACTCTGGGTATGGACATAGAGAGAATGGACTCTTATAAGTACCTGGGTGTTCACCTGAACAATAAACTGGACTGGACTCATAACACTCATGCACTTTATAAGCAAGGCCAGAGCAGACTCTATCTGCTCTGGAAACTCAGGTCCTTTGGAGTGCAGGGAGAGCTCCTGAGGTCCTTCTTTGATACTGCTGTGGCATCAGCCATTTTCTTTGGAGTGGTCTGCTGGAGCAGCAGCATCTCAGCAGCCGACAGGAAGAGACTCGACAAGCTGATTAAGAAGACCAGCTCTGTCCTGGGTTGCCCCCTCAACTCAGTTAACTTCAATAATTTCTACATCGAAGCCATCAACCGTTGGACCCGATCCCAACTAGGCTGCTTAAAGAAGTTGTTCCCTTAATTGGCACTTCTTTACTGGATATGATTAATCTTTCTTTATTATCAGGATATGTACCACAGTCCTTTAAAGTAGCTGTAATTAAACTCCTTCTTAAAAATCCCACTCTTGACCCAGGGGTTTTAGCCAACTATAGACCGATCTCTAACCTCCCCTTCCTCTCTAAGATTCTGGAGAAAGTAGTCGCCAAAGAGTTGTGTGACTTTTTACATAACAATAGTTTATTTGAGGATTTCAGTCAGGATTTAGAGTTCATCATAGCACAGAGACAGCTCTGGTTAAAGTTAATAATGACCTTCTGATTGCTTCAGACAATGGACTTGTCTCTGTACTTGTATTATGAGATCTTAGTGCTGCATTTGACACCATTGACCATAATATTCTTTTACAGAGACTTGAGCATCAAATTGGCATTAAAGGAACCGCACTAAGCTGGTTTAAGTCATATTTATCAGATCGCTCGCAGTTTGTACATGTTAACGATGAATCTTCAATAAATACTACAGTTAGTCATGGAGTTCCACAAGGTTCTGCACTTGGACCAATACTATTTACTTTATAAATGCTCTCTTTAGGAATAATTATTCGGAATCACTCATCAATCAATCATTAACTTTCACTGTTATGCAGATAATACGCAGTTATATCTATCAATCAAGCTTGATGAAATTAATCAATTATCTAAATTACAAACATTTAAAATCCTCCTCCTCACCTATAAAGCTCTTCATGGTCAGGCCCCTTCATATCTTAAAGAGCTCATAGTACCCTATTACCCCTCTAGAACACTACGTTCTCTGAATGCTGGGCTACTTGTGGTTCCTATAGTCTCTAAAAGTAGAACAGGAGCCAGAGCCTTCAGTTACCAAGCTCCTCTCCTGTGGAACCAGCTTCCAGTTGTGGTTCGGGAGGCAGACACCCTCACCACATTCAAGAGTAGGCTTAAGACATTCCTCTTTGATAAAGCTTATAGTTAGGGCTGGATCAGGTGAGTCCTGAACCATCCCTTAGTTATGCGGCCTAGACTCTCATGGGATTTCCCATGGTGCACTGAACTCCTCTCTTCCTCTCTCTTTCTGCACTCATTCATGTCCCATTAATGCATGTTACTAACTTCACTTCTTCCCCGGAGTTCTTGTGCTTTCTCGTCTGGCAGGTTCTTATCGATCCTGGTGGAGCCTCCTGCCATGGTCCTGCTAGATTGCCATTGCCAATACTGTTGTTGCTGTGCACCTGTCTGTCTGTCTGTCTGTCTCTCTCTCTCTCTCTCTCTCTCTCTCTCTCTCTCTCTCTCTCTCTCTCACCCCAACTGGTCGAGACAGACGACCACCCACCTAGAGCCGGAGGATCTGTCCTAGGTTTCTGCCTTTTAACAGGCAGTGTTTCCTTGCCCTTGTCTCCAAGGTCTTGCTCATGGTGGTACTGTTGGGTCTCTGTAATTAATGTTATAAAGAGTTCGGTCTAGACCTGCTCTATTTGAAAAGTGTCCTGAGATAACTTCTGTTATGAATTGGCGCTATACAAATAAAATTGAATTGAATTGAATTGAATTGAATTGAATTGAATTGAATTGGTGGGAGCGAGGAGGATAATAGCAAAGCTATCATCACTGATGGACAATGTCTCCCACCCCATGCAGGACACCATCAGTACACTGAGCAGCTCCTTCAGCGACAGACTCCTTCACCCCAAATGTGTGAAGGAGAGATATCGTAGGTCCTTCCTTCCTGCTGCTGTCAGACTGTTTAACAACCAGCACTGCTCCCAGTAGACCTTTTTTTCTTCCTTTCATACATTAATGTGTGTGTGTGTGTGTGTGTGTGTGTGTGTGTGTGTGTGTGTGTGTGCGTGTGTGTGAGTGTGTGTCAGAGAGAGACACAAATATTACACCATCTTTAAAGCAGAGTCCTACCTGAGCTCCACAGCAACAGCAACAGCACCAACAGGTGATCCATGTCCAGGTAGAGCGTCTCTCTGCCCGTCTGTCTGCTGTCTGCTCTGATGTCTCACATGTGCTGTCCTCAGTGTCTGTCTGCGTACAGGAAGAGGTGGAGCTTTACTGGAGTATATCTGACTGACTCTGTCACAGTAGTTATAAAACAGACACAGTTAGAGTCTTTAACACAAGTGCCTGATAATAATACAGTGTCATTATTATTATTATTATTATTATTATCATTATTGGATGTTGCAGGGAAAAATGACTAAAAATAGAATCAAAAACTGGTTTTGATTTGATGGAAATCTGATGGATTCAAACTTTACTGTGAACAATTTTACAATGTTTTCCTTTTTGTATAACTTTGATATTGTGTGTGTGGAGGTCATAGACACGTCAGGTCGTATAGAAAATAAAAAGCAATAAATAACAGAAATAAAATCAGTGCGTCCCATCCTTACAAATGCAAAACTACATGGCAAACTTGGATTGTGACTTTTTGTTTAGTTGAATATAAAAAGTGTGGAAAGTCACTGGGAGAGTTTTGGAAGAACAAAATAATGAACAAAACACAGTGTGTTGTTTTAGGTTCCCTCCGTTCTGCAGCATCCAATCTCTCACTGCTCTGGGATGGAGACTGTTGTATTAAATGCTCTTGTGCTCATGAAGAAGATGTGTATCTATGTGAAGTTGTGAAATCCTAGCAGAGTGTAACTTCCTCATGTTGAGTGCGTCTGTGTAATAATACTGCATGACAACTGTTGCTAAGCCGACGCAGTGAGCGTCAGAGACAAGAAAACACTCAATCTGTCAAAGAAAGAAGCCTATTAAGTCTCTATGATTGGTACAACATTATTTAAAAAATACCATCATGATTATAATTCTATTAATGTTATTTTCTGTATGTAGGCTAATAGTCCCACCCACTGTTTAACTGCGTACAGGAACCGATCGCTCTATCTGGCTGCCAATCAGCAGATCAATATCTATGGTCTTTCTGAGCAGAATGAGACGTCACTCTTCCTGTGTGTTGCTATGGTGATCCAAACCACATGTGAGCAGTTTGCTTGTCCGTCTGAATATTTGGCTTTTATTTATTAGTTATGATGATTTAGTGAAGTTGACCTTTGACCCCTGCAGAGTCAGAAAGCTTCGATTAGAGGAAAACCTGAGGAAAAGTGACTCTGAGGAAACATTAAGTTGTTGCACTTTATCAGTTTTCTCCTGTTGAGCAGTGATGGAAGAAGTACTCACATCTTTTACTGCAGTAAAAGTACTAATACCACAGTGTACAAATACTCTGTTACTAGTATTTATGTTGCTGAAGAAAATAATAATAACTGACTAAAAATAGAATTAAAACATTAAAACTTTACTGTGTACGATCTTACAGTGTTTTCCTTTTTGTCTTACTTTGCATTGATATGATGTGTGTGTGTGTGTGTGTGTGTGTGTGTGTGTGTGTGTGTGTGTGTGTGTGTGTGTGTGTGTGTGTGTGTGTGTGTGTGTGTGTGTGAAGAGTTCATTTGCAACAACAGATTAAAGCCATTCTTGAAATGAATCAACCAACAGCAGTTTGATTGATAATCCCTGGATTGCACTCACAAGAATCAAAATGGAGATATCTGTTTTTCTAATGAAGCCTGAATATGTTACTCCAACATCCAACACAAATATTTCACCATCTTTAAAGCAGAGTCCTACCTGAGCTCCACAGCAACAGCAACAGCACCAATTCAATCAATTTAATTTAATTTTTTTTGTAAAGCGCCAATTCATAACAGAAGTTATCTCAGGACACTTTTCAAATAGAGCGTCGAGAACTCTTTAACATTAATTACAGAGACCCAACAGTACCACCGAGCAACACACAAGGGCAAGGAAAAACGCCTGTTAAAAGCGAACAGATCCTCGGCCAGGTGGGTGGTGCGTCTCACCAGTGGAGAAGAAAAAAAAAAAAACGACAACACAGGTGCACAGCAACAACAGTATTGGCAATGGCAGTCAACGGACCAGGCAGGAGGCCCACCAGGATCCATGAGAACCGCAGACGAGAAAGCACAAGAACCCGGAAGAAGTGGAGTTAGTAACATGCATTAATGGGACAGAATAGTGCAAAAAAAGAAGAGAGTAGCCAGTGCACCATGGGAAATCCCCGATAGTCTAGGCCTATACAGCATAACTAAGGGATGGTTCAGGACCACCGATCCAGCCCTAACTATAAGCTTTATCAAAGAGGAATGTCTTAAGCCACCTGAATGTGGGAGGGTGTCTGCCCCCGAACCACAACTGGAACGGTTCCACAGGAGAGGAGCTGGTAACGAAGGCTCGGCCCTGTTCTACTTTAGAGACTATAGGAACCACAAGTAGCCCAGCATTCAGAGAACGTAGTGTCTAGTGGGGTAATAGGGACTATGAGCCTTTAAGATATGAAGGGCCTGACCATGAAGAGCTTTATAGGTAGGAGGAGTATTTTAAATTCAATTCACATTTTATAGGGAGCCAATGCAGAGTAGCTAGTACAGGAGAGATGTGATCTCTTTTCTAGTTCCTGTCAGTACTGTCTGCAGCGTTCTGAATTAATTGGAGCGTTTTAATGGACTTATTGGGGCAACCTGATAATAAAGAGTTGCAGTAATCCAGCCTTGAAGTAACAAATGCATGGATTAGTTTTTCTGCATCTGTCTGTGATAGTATGTTTCTAATTTTTCTAATATTACGTAATGAAAGAAGGCAGTCCTAGAGGTCTGCTTTATGTGGGAGTTAAATGACAAATCCTGATCAAAGAGAACTCCAAGATTCCTGACAGTGGTGCTAAGGCCAAGTTAATGCCATCTAGAGTGACTATATCTTTAGACAATGAGTCTCTAAGGTTTTTGGGGCCAAGAACAAGAATTTCGTTTTTTCTGAGTTTAACATCAGAAAATTGCAGGTCATCCAGGATTTTATGTCCTTAAGACATGTTTGTAATTTAGATAATTGATTAATTTCATTGGGTTTGATTGATAGATATAACTGCGTATCATCTGCATAACAGTGAAAGTTAATGAGTGATTCCTAATAATGTTGCCTAAAGGGAGCATATATAAAGTAAATAGTATTGGTCCAAGTACAGAACCTTGTGGAACTCCATGACTAACTTTAGTATTTATGGAGGATTCATCGTTAACATGTACAAACTGAGTACGATCTGATAAGTATGACTTAAACCAGGTTAGGGCAGTTCCTTTAATGCCAATTTGATGCTCAAGTCTCTGTAAAAGAATATCATGGTCAATGGTGTCAAATGCAGCACTAAGATCTAATAATACAAGTACAGAGACAAGTCCATTGTCAGAAGCAGTCAGAAGGTCATTATTAACTTTAACCAGAGCTGTCTCTGTGCTATATGAACTCTAAATCCTGACTGAAAATCCTCAAATAAACTATTGTTATGTAGAAAGTCACACAACTCTTTGGCGACTACTTTCTCCAGAATCTTAGAGAGGAACGGGAGGTTAGAAATCGGTCTATAGTTGGCTAAAACCCCTGGGTCAAGAGTAGACTTTTAAGAAGGGGTTTTATTACAGCTACTTTAAAGGACTGTGGTACATATCCTGATAATAAAGAAAGATTAATCATATCCAGTAAAGAGTGCCAATTAAGGGAACAACTTCTTTAAGCAGCCTAGTTGGGATCGGGTCTAACAGACAGGTTGATGGCTTCGATGAAGAAATGATTGAAGTTAACTGATGAAGATCGATAGCAGAAAAACAGTCTAAATATACATCTAAGTTTACATTGACAGAAGTCCCTGAACTTAGAGCCACTGATAACTGTTGATGGCAGTTGGTGATTAATTTTTCTCTAATAGTAATAATTTTATTATAGAAGAAGCTCATGAAGTCATTGCTACTTAAGTTTATGGGGATATGTGGCTCGATAGAGCTGTGACTCTCTGTCAGCCTGGCTACAGTGCTGAAGAGGAACCTAGGGTTGTTCTTATTTTCTTCTATTAGTGCTGAGTAATAGGCTCCTCTGGCATTACGGAGGGCCTTTCTATAAATCTTAAGATCATCTTGCCAATTTGAGCGATATTCTGATAATTTGGAAGAGCGCCATTTCCTTTCAGATTTCCTAGCTATTTGCTTTAACTGGCGGGTTTGGTGGTCAACAGGTGATCCATGTCCAGGTAGAGCATCTCTCTGCCCGTCTCTCTGCTGTCTGCTCTGATGTCTCACATGTGCTGTCCTCAGTGTCTGTCTGCGTACAGGAAGAGGTGGAGCTTTACTGGAGTATATCTGACTGACTCTGTCACAGTAGTTATAAAACAGACACAGTTAGAGTCTTTAACACAAGTGCCTGACAATACACAGTGTCATTATTATTAGGGACCGAGCCAGTGTCAAACACTATGAGGTCTCTATTGTTTTTGCTATGTTTATAAGGTAAGATAAGATATTCCTGTATTTTTGTCCCACAATGGGGAAATTCCAATGTTGCAGCAGCAAAGTGGATAGAGAAAACAACAGTATAAAAAACAGTAAGAGTTGGAAAAATAGTAAATAGGCAGATAGAGTCTGCTCTGGCAGAATGTGTCAACAATCTGCCACTGGGTGGCGTTCTGGTGGCATGGTAAATAACTGCGCGGAGACCGTAATAGTTATGAACATGAAATTCACAGGACACGTGTAGAGTGGTGCCTGTAGCTCACATACCAAAATCGTGTTTGTCGTGTTTGTACCACCTCCTACAGTATTTCAAAAAAACAGCCCCGGTGCCACGTTTCACCGATATGTATGAAACTAGGTAGGCACGTGTACCGTGCCGAGACCTACAGAAAAGCCTCTTGGACCCATGCCCCCAAGCCCACAGGAAGTCGGCCATTTTGATTTTGATTTTCACTTTCGGCGAACTTTGCGCGTTGTATTTTAACGTACTCCTCATAGGGGACTTATGGCATCTACTTCAAACTTGGACAGTACAGTCAAAAAAATTGCTGATTAAAACTTGTGCTATTTGTGCATGTAGGTAACTAACTAACTCCTCCTAGGGAATATATCAGATCAATTTCAAAATTGGTCAGTACAATCAAAACAAACTGTAGATGAAAAGTTGAGCTATTTGTGACTGTACGTCAAACCGCGTGCCAGTGACGACTTGTCGAAT